AGAGCCCAAGAGCCGGAGCCCGAGCGCTGTCACAGCAGATTCCGAGTGAACCCTGTCAGCGATAGCACGAGTGGGAAAACTAAACCAACCCACCAACTCCCTCCCAAAGGAGCCAGCAGAGGAGTGAGCAAAGCAGCTAACGCAGGAGTCAGGGAGAGGGTCAGCAAGTGTCCGGGAGTGAACGAGAGAGAGGGAGTAATGGCTCCCGGACCCCTCCTCGCCTCTGCCCCCAGCGTGACCTACTATGGAATGAAACACTCCCTTGGTCAGGTGGGGTCAGGTGCCTGAGCTGTGTGTCCCTGCACGGCCTGTAGCCAGACAGCAGAGCTGGGAACGCAGCTGCAGGGTCAGAAGGGGAGAAAGACCTTGAATCTGGTGCAGGCATTGCCCAGCGCCAGCTGAGACCTGATCAGTGCTGCTCTCTGCAGCCAGGAACAGCTTCACAGCAGCCAGGGTAAAGGGAGTTAACTCTTTCCTGACTGAATCCAGCACAGTGAAGAAGAAAGGACAGTAAATGCAAAATTCGGAAGGTCTCTATGGGCAGTTGTAGGGGAATTGGAGGATGGACTAGGGAGGTGGAGAAGCCTATGTAAATAACAATTTCATTATAATAACATCAGAAAAATGGAAAATTAATTTGAAAGCTATTAGAAATGGTGTTTTTCAAGTGAATATTGTAGCCTGTGCTTCAGGGAAAGTATAGGTGTGTTTGTGGATGTTTTTGTTTCCATTCTGGCTGGTATTCGTGGATGGCATGAAGTTAGCCGCGGGAACCCAGAAGCTGGGGAAGTACTTACCTTGTGTTGATCATTGTCTTGCCATAGTTAGATCTCTAGGAATGAATCTGTAAGTCTGCAGCAAAGACAAACACAGATAAATGGAAGCCCTCCTTTTCTGCAGTTCTAATTCTGCTTGGGCTTAAGCAAAGTAGTGTATTCAAGTCACTTTCATGACTTATATATTCAAATTTCAGTATATGTCAATAAACACTTAGAGCTTCATCTCCACAGTAATTGAGATTACATAGTTTCTTCATGGATTTCTGAATGCTTGAAGTTGCAAGTGTTGTCATTTTTAACTTGTTCCACTTTGATAGATATGACATGAGAGGGCTGGCATGATTGACATATTACTGTTGTTTGTCACAGACAATGTACAACAGAACTTAATTTTCTCCATAATGAGATATTAAAGATTTTTGTAGCATATTTGCCATCTGTTTCTGTGTAGTCACTCTTTTATACTCACTAGGTACATCTTCGCAGCGGGATCTTTGCTCTCCAGGGTCAGCAGTGATAGTGACAGTGTTTTTGGTATCTAGTATTCCTGCAGTGTCCTTCTGTCCTCTTCCAAAATATGGAAAACATGATGAAAACCAAGATGTCAGTCTTAAATACTGCTGTGGTTTTGGTTTTTGTTGTTTTTTTTTCTTTGGTGTGGGTGTTCTTGTGAGAGAAAGTAAAGACCAGACAGTCTCTAGCCTTCCTTACATGGAAGGATACATTCAACTGTCTTAATGCAGAAAAGTTTACATTGTGAAAGAACACAAGCAGAGAGGACACATTAAAAAGACAAAATCAAGATGCATTTTTCTATTAAAATGTAAAAATGATCACATGACTAATTTGATTGCAGTCTGCAACTCCCTCACGGGGGGCAGCAGGGGCGGAGGTGCTGATTTCCTTCCTCTCTGTGGTGACCAGGGACAGGGCACGAGGACATGGAATGAAGCTGCATCAGGGGAAGTTCAGGTTGGACATTAGGAAAAGGTTCTTCACTCAGAGGGTGGTCGGGCCCTGGAATGGGCTCCCCAGGGAAGTGGTGATGGCACCAAGCCTGTCAGAGTTCATGGAGTGTCTGGACAATGCTCTTGATGAAATGGTTTAGTTTTAGGTAGTCCTGTGAGAAGCAGGGAGTTGGATTCAATGACCCTTATGGGTCCCTTCCAACCTGAGATATCCTGTGATTCTGCCCTGTTTTGTCAGGCATGAGGATTCAAATCTTGGATAAGCAACTACCAAGTGAATGTTTTAATCTACTGAATGTGAAACATGAGTTCTCCCTGTAAGTTGGCAATGATTTGTAAAAACCTGATGCCTCATTTGGATTATTAGAACTTCTATTTAATTCATTACTAAATCATTTGACTGTTACTTCTGCAAAATTTCTGGATGTTGGTCAAGTGTTTTAGCTTGTTTACAAGTAATGGAAGTTTGTTGGCGTGAAGTCAGTAATGTGAAACTTGTGCAATGGATTTATGTCAAGAGCTGGCAGGGAAGCTGCAAAAATGTATAGCTAATCTATATGAAGAGTGGCTATCTGTTTAATTATTATTGTCATTTAAGGAAAGATTTATTTAATTCTGAAGTTGCATTTTCCTTTTCCTCTTTTTTTTTCTTTCTTCTTAGAGGTGCATAATAATATAAATTAAGGTTAATGGTTTTTACTGCATTTTTTTCCAAATCTGAATATGAGATAATCATGGCTCATGATGGATAATAAATTTCACTACATATTTATTTTCTGTTATAAGGTAAATTCTAAAAAATGCTGTACTGGCTGCAGTACTACAAGATGAATATTGTTGGCATACAGACAAGCATATGCATTTTTAACACTTTGCCCTTTTATAAGTAAATGAGAATTGCTGCTGATCAGGAAGTATCCATGCATGAAAATGCATAATTTTAAGGTACAAGGAGGTTATGTCGTCATTCAGTCATGTCTTGTGTAAATACACATTTATTCTTGATTATGAGTGTGGCAATGTGAATTTTTTCACTCAACTGATTTTTATGAACAGTCGGTCATAGTATTTTGAAGGCCCCCTACACTGTATTATACAAAGCAGTATTTAATTCATAGACTTATGCAGTGGTTTGGGTTGGAAGGGATCTTAAAGACCATCTAGTTCCACCCCCCCTGCCATGGGCAGGGACCCCTTCCACTAGACCAGGTTGCTCCAAGCCTCATCCAGCGTGGCCTTGAACACTTCCAGGGATGGGGCATCCACAGCTTCTCTGGGCACCCTGTCCCAGTGCCTCACCACCCTCTCTGGGAAGAATTTCTTCCTGATATCCAATCTAAGCCTCCCTGTTTTCAATTTAAACCCGTTACCCCTTGGCCTGTCACTACAGGCCCTTGTAAAAAGTCCCCCCCAGCTTCCCTGTAGCCCCTTCAGGTACTGGAAGGTGCTCTAAGGTCTCCCCGGAGCCTTCTCTTCTCCAGGCTGAACAAGCCCAACTCTTTCAGCCTGTCCCCATAGCAGAGGGGCTCCAGCCCTCGGAGCATCTTCGTAGCCTCCTGTGGTCTCCCTCCAACTGGTTGATATCCTTTTTACAGTGAGGACTCCAGTACAGGACACAGTGCTCCAGGTGGGTTCTCATGAGAGCAGAGTAGAGGGGGAGAATCACCTCCCTCGACCTGCTGGCCACACTTCTCCTCATACAGCCGAGGATACGGTTGGCTTTCTGGGCTGCCAGTGCACCCGGCCGGCTCACGGT